CAGGAGGTTGGGTCCCTTTGAGGTCATTCAACAGGTCAACCCAGTGGCTTTCAGGCTCCGGTTACCCAACCACATGAAACTGCACCCAGTATTTCACAGGTCGTTACTGTCACCGTACGAAGGGGGACGAGAAGGGCTGGCCACTCGGGACCGGGTCGTAGAAGAAAGAGAATGCAGCAGCCATGTGGCAGAAATCCTCGACGCCAGGTGGAAGGGGGATCAGGTGGAGTATTTGGTAGCGTGGGAAGGAGAACCGGAGTCAGAAAACACTTGGGTAATGGCTGAAGATATCAATGACGAGGTATTGATAGAAACGTTCCATCAAAGGTTCCCAAGGAAACCTCAGCCTGTGGAGAGGTTCCGGAGGGAATACTTTGGGACCACTGATGAAGGGAGGAGTTGGAAGGACTCCGGACTCGGAAGGGAAGGGAGATGGACTCTGAGGAGGAGGTGTACTTCGAGACCAGGAACCGCAACAGGTTGAGAGAAGTGTTCGAGACATCGGAAGATGAAGGAAGTTCATTCCGGGTTTTGCCTCCTCACCGCCCGTAGAGGAGGGGGCGAGAGGGGGTGAAGGGGGCCCTGGAGGGGAGGTGGATGTCAGGGAACTGCCATCGGACGGAAGGGAGGTGAAAGGGCTCACACAGGTTGGGAGAGACGCAGCAGCTGAAGAGGGAACCAACAGGGAGGTGAAAGGGCTCACACAGGTTGGGAGAGACGCAGCAGCTGAAGAGGGAACCAGCAGGGGGAGAGGAGCTGAGCTGGAGGGATGGCTCAGAGACACTTCCAGCGAAAACAGTGGGGAGGTTTCAGGACCTCCTGTAAGAACACCCACTCCTCGCCGGAAACTGTCACGCAGAGATTCCAGAAGACGTGCTCCGCTAAGGAGCTTTTATGTTGGCAGCGCTTACGAACGCACCCCCCGTCGGAATCTGCTAGTGACTAGAGTAGCCATGTCTGAGGGGCTCCGTCACAGACAGAGGTTTGTGGACTTGAACAAACTTTGAGGGGATACGATTTTACGCACAAGCAGCTCATCATCCCATCACAGAAGTGAAAGGCAGTATTTAATGTATATGGAAGAAAATTAAGGAGTGCACTTCAGGCCACTGTTAGGGTAACCAGTTTTTTGCCCCTCATGGCTCCCAGTCACCCCACCCAGTTACAATAAGCCTGGGTCTATCTGTATAGTTTCATTGAGGGTTTTGTTTCTTGGCTGGGCTAGACTCACAGCGTTCTTCAGCCTGAGGTCCCCAGATGTTGCTGGACTACAACTCCCATCATGCCCAGCCAGCATAGGCAATAGTCAAGAATGATGGGGGCTGTAGTCCAACTACATCTGGGGTCCCAGGGTTGAAGAACCCTGTGCAAGAGGATAATGGAATGTCACCATGTCCGTATTTTGGCTATTTCTAATATCTATACTGGTGGATGTTCTGCTACAATATCAGTATTGATCCCATATGAAAACACCAGTCGTCATGATGGGCAGGGTATGTCTCTATGAAAGGAAAGTGTATGTATTGCATGGGCTTCAGAGGCTGGAGCTGCAATGTATTTGTTCTAAACATAGGGACATGTCACAACCTTCTTGGGGCTGGTGCCAATACCATTCATCTCTGGGCCGCCACCAGGACTCCAGTAGGATTCCACTGCTTATGCCTTCTATGACCACCTTTTTTAAAAAAAAAAAAAACCAGCATCCACACTGGGTCCAGGCGACTGCCATATTTATTTTTGAGAATGCCACAGGAGAAGATGAGTTGACTTCTAAGGCAACGTGTGCTTATTTAAAAAATAAAAAATAAACATACCATGGCTGCCATCACAAAACTTGGGTGATGATGTCATTGCCTGGGAATGCTCCAGTCCTGAGCCTCTTAGCTGGAAAGAGTTTGGCTCATTAGGCTAAAAGAAGTTTGCTGCTCTGATCAATGGATTTAATTTTAAGTTGACTGGAGTGCTGATAGTGAGAGACGGCTATATAACTTGATAGAGGGGCAGGATTCAGCTGTTACCTTTTACTTGGTCATAACAAGTGCCTCTTTTTGTATTCTATTTACATACATCAGTAGGATTTTTGCAAGGACTGTTGTGGAAAAACGAGATCAAGCTGTTTTGTAGTAAATACCAATTTGCCTCTTGTGCTGTTACGGACATGAGATGGAGCAATGTCTCCCTCTCTTCAGAGTTTGCAGCTCAAGATCTTATCTGATAAACGGACAGTTTACAACCCTTGTATTTATAGGCAATCACCAAGCTAGGTTTCTAAATAATGGTTCGGGACATTTTATTGCTTTGCTTACAAATATGATCATAACATACAAAATAAAAAAAAAACGACTTGATTGTTCCCACCTTTTCCTGCTCTTATAATTTGTGCTTATCCAAATGCATTGCTTTATGAACCCATCCTTTGAAAGTTGAACTATTACATCTAAGGTGATGTGTACACTTTATATTATAAGTCTGCACAAATGGTGACCTGCCAAATCAGAAACAGCCCATTGAATCCAGCCCTGGATGTGTGAAGTGACTCCTTGAAAAGTATTGTGTCCACAAACATATGAAATGCAGGTTGTGGTGCAAACAATAACTTCATCTTGCAATCATCAAGTGATAACATGAACCAGCCTAGCAAATACCCTCTACTTCTATACTAATGAACGACTGGTGTTAATGGTGACCAAACTTTATTAAAACCAAAGCATGAGAACAGTGTCTAAATTGTATAATATTTTTTATTTTTTTTAAAAAAGAATGCTGTTGGTAGCATGTAAGCAGAGATGGGGAACCTCTAGCCCACCAGACATTCCTGGACTACAACTCCCATCATCCCTGACCGTTGACCATACTGGCTGGGGCTGATGGGAGTTGAAGTCCAAGAGCATTTAGAGGGCACCAGGTTTGTCACTAGGTACACACTACTAATACCATTTCAAGGCATTATTAAGATTGGGCAGTTTAGATAGTGGTCCTTTTGCCTACAGTTAGACACTTTCAGGACATACTCATGTTATTTGGTCAATTAATAGTCGTGACTGAGCCTTGAAAAGTATGTCACAGAAATCTAATCAGCAAGTATATTTATTTGCAGAATAAAGTTTTGGCTTACTGATGGACAGTTGATCCCACATGTCCATGCAGTTTTCCCAAATGAGGTTTAAATAGACAACATTTGAAATTGGCTCCTCTCATAAATGGGAAAAAAAAACCCTGGCTGTGGTGACCCTTCCATTTCTTTTCCAAATTCTCTCCTGCATTAACAACATTCACGCCAGTCAGGGGGGGAAATTGCGGAAACTTTCAAGTACATAATGGGGTGTCATGAATGAAAATGTGGACATTCTTTTCTGGTGCTCCAGTAAGCCAAAGCCTGACACAGATGAAAATTCTATAATTTGTGTAGACCAATGCAAATCCAAGTTATCTCATGGCTTGCTTGTGACTTTCCCTTTGGAGAAAGGTGATGGAGCAACAGCTAGAGATGAGCTCTGCTCTTTAGTGAGAACAATGGATTCTTTCTGAAAAATAAATGAATCCCGGCATTAAGGTCACCAGTTGCTCTGAAGATGCAGATGTTTGCACCTATTGTTATTGTGTGCAGGTAGTGAAAAATGGTGCACTCTTTCTGCACAGAAGCAGAAAATTCTGGCTGCAGACACCCTTTTCTCTCTCCCTCTGCAAGTGGCTTGTTAAGAAGGGGGAAGAACCACCTTTAGGAGGCAGTGATTTAGGGAAGAAAAGGCCGCGTAAACCAGAACATTTGATTGGCCATTCGTTATCAAAGAGCCTCCTAAGGTTTTCTGTGCTGCTCAAAGAACAAAATGGAATCGGGCTCTGCTTCTATGAATATTCAACGAATTCCTTCTCTTTTCGTTGAATGGCCGACTCTTGAGCTGTCCAATGATGGCAATAGCAGATCCCCGCTCTGTAACCCATCCGTCAATTGGGCACTGGGTATTGTTTTCTGATCAAAGTCAAGAAGAGCATTCTGTTAAAGCAAACTGCTTTGTTATCACTACATGGATGCTGTCCCATGTACTGTCAAGCTGAATCAAGTGCTAGCATGCTATGCAGCTGCACTCTCTTTATTTCCCCAATCTTCAGTGCTCACCCGACTGCACACACAGCCTTTGCCAACCTGGTGCCCTCCCGGTGTGCTCATTGGGGCTGATGAGAGTTGAGATCCAAACATATGGAAGGCACCAGGTTGGTGTAGGCTGGAATAGTGCCACTGAGAAGGTAGCATGCAATCCATGCTTTGCAATCCAGCATCCTCTTCAACCTTGAAAAAGAACCTGGGCAGTAGGGTCTTGAGCCAGCCCTACTGACTGTCTAACTCTGTGTGGGGAAATTGGAGTCTCTTACATCCAATGAAAGTTGATTTGTTGGTGTCTTTGTTTTTGTGTCTTTCTCCTGCGATACAGGGCCAAGCATACCTACCATAAAACTTTGCTGGAGCAGGTTCAAGAGTTGGAAGCTAAGTCCAAAGAGCTGGGGAAATCTATGCTGCGTGATAGTAATGGAAAGAGGTGGGGGCAATTCCATCTTAACTGGAAGCATGCCAGATCAATATTTTTCCCCTTCCCCACCATCATTATTTTTTTTCTCCTCCGTGCATGGGAGATCCTCCAGACTCCTCAGCAATTTTATCCATTCATCTGCTTTATTTTAAAAGGAGGAAAGAAAGAAAAAAAGCTTCCATCTTTCACTGCTCCATCCATCATAGTTTGGTGCTTGTGGCCAAGGCCCCATTTAGTGCTTCTCGCATGATGGCATGTAATGTTTTCGTTGGGTGCTGGGGCCGATCCAAAGATGTGCTTCGGGTGGCTTCTTTGCCTTGCCTCATCTTGTTGATTTATTGTACCGACTGACAAAAAACAAGCGTACGTCAAGACCATATTTTTACAGAAACAGGGATAGCAGAATCCAGTGGGTTACATTAACTCAAAGCCCTTGAAACGAGTTCAAGTTATGAAAGGGGTGTGTTGGTCCATTGAGTTACTGGTATAGCTCAGTCATAGAGCATTTGCTTTGCATGCAGAAGGTCCTTGGTTCCATCCCCAGAATCTCAAGATAGGACTGGAGATGTCCCCTTGTCTGAAACCCTGGCAAGCTGCTACCAGTTAGTGTACTTCTCTAGATGGACCAGTGGCCTCACTCCATATGAGGCAGCTTCCTACGTTCTTAATTTCCATTGGGCCTACAAAGGAGAATTTCTCATGTTATGCCAAAGATCAGTAATAGTATTGGGTGCTACAGTCCATGGTCAAAACTCTTGGTGAAAGTTACTAAGTCACGCCTAACCCCTTATCCACAGTGCCCAAAGAGATCCAAAGAGCTGCTTTTGGCAGGACTTGGTCATGCCCAGTAGAATCTTTGACTTTCCCCCATTTAATTGTAGATTCCACCATGCCATATGCTTTTATTTAACCTGACTACTGAATCCAATTTACTGTTCTTCTTTATTTATTTACATAACTTATTTACTATCTGTTTGTCTTCCTTTTGAGACATAACTGCCGCCCCCGCGCCCCAAAGCAGCTCGCGTCAAAGAGATTCCTAACATACTGGGTTGGGGCATTTATGTTGGTATCTGATTGCTGTTTCGATTGGAGTTTTTATATGCCATAAGGCACTGCAATAACCATTGGCTGGGGGGGGGGGTAGCACAAATATTTTAACTAAATAAATTCCGTAAAACACTTTTCAGGCCTCGCTCAGTTTCAAAAGAGGCTTGTTGTGTAACGCAAGGAGCTGGGAGCTGCACAGAACTGCTGGACCAGACAAAAGGGCTCAACTGCTCCATCACAGTGATCAGCTAGATGCCTTTGGGAAGCGAGATGTGAGCTCAATAGCTTTCTCCCCACTTGTGATTCCTAGCAACTGATAGTCATGAAGTTTTTTGGATCCAGGGCAGTGTTCATGCATTATCAAAGGTAGTATTCCGCCCCCCTTTGTTTCAAGCGCTCACAATCCCGCTGGGCTTCGTTAACTGTCACAAACCCAGTGTTTAAGGGCTGCCATGCAATTGTCTGGATAAAGCAAGCAGTGATTACCTCTGCTATGAATGGAATGCTTCGACACAGCAAACAACATCCTGGTCTCACCTTGTGGCTTGTTACACTTTCAGCCTTAAGCTGTCCTCGCTTGTCCTTTGTGTGGCTAGACCATATGGAACCCACCGCTATTATTAAACACCCCATTGTACAGGAGCGTTATGTGCTCTGTGGGGACTTTTGTCCGGCCTGAAAGCCTTCGGAGAGAAATCGAGCGAGGCTTCTCCCCTCCCTCCCCCCCAATCCCACCCCACTTTCAGAAGGGTTCATTTAGCCCTTTTTAGAATGCAATTGTGCGTCGGCAAATCGAGGAGCTGAACAAGTTCAAAAAGGTTTTATAACTAACACTTGTGTTCTTCAAACAATATGGCACCGTGTGACCCGCCGAGGGACTTCATGATAATTAAATGGGATTTGACCAAACCGTCTAAACTACCAACCTGAGTGGAATGAGACTTCAAAGAAAGATTCCATTCTGGTACGAAAGGGCAGCCTTCTGAGGCTTTTATGCCCATTCTGACAGAAACTAATTGCCATATTGTAGCTGCTGCTGAAGCAAGTGGAGGAGTAAACGCATCACTTTTATTTCCTTAAATAGCCAGGCAGCAACCTTGGAACTCTTACTAATTAAACTGTAAGGTTTCAAGATCCTCTGGTTTGTATTTAGTCGATTTGTAGTTTCAGACCGCGTTCACACCACTGTGATTCCACTTTGAACTGCCGTAGAATCATAAGAGTTAGAAGGGACACCGAGGGTCGTCTAGTCCACCCCCTGCGATTCAGGAATCTCAGCTAAAGCATCCATGGCAGATGGCCATCCAACCTCTGCTTAAAAACCTTCAAGGAAGGGGAGTCCGCCACCTCCTGAGGGAGTCCGTTCCACAGTTGAACAGCTCTTACCGCCAAAAGGTTGTTCCTGATGTTTAGCCTGTTGTTTAGCTGTTTAGAGTTCTGGGAGCTGTAGTTTGTTCAGGGTGCTAAGAGTTGATGGGGGGGGGCTGTTTCCCTGACAGAACTGCAATTCTCAAGAGTGGTTTAACAGCCACCCCTTCTTAACAGGGAACTCTGGAAATTGTAGCTCTGCGATGGGGTCGTTTACAAACTCTCAGCACTTGTAACAAACTACAGTTCCCAGAACGCTTTGGGGCAAGCCATGGCTGTTTATAATAGTATCCTAATGAACGGTATGAATGTGCCAATATTCATGGTGCAATGTTACGCATGTCTACTCAGGATTGGAGGAAGTCCTACTGGACTCAGTGGGATTTACTTCCAGTTAAGCGTGTATAGGATTGCAGCCTCAACTGTGCCAGGACATCTTATGACTTTGGGATTAGCTGGATAAACATTTTTGAAATACAAGAAACTGTGTGGATTCCTCCCCATTCGACTCTCTCAACTCTGGTTGTACAATTTCTTATCTTTGATATACTGGTATAATTTGTACAGCAAATGTCAGGTCATTTAGCTTTATTTAGTCGTCCATTCATTCTTCAGCATGGATCATATTCTGTTGCAAGATAACTTATTCTGTGTTTGCTCTGTACTGAACTTTTTCACTTTGATCCAGCCAAGGACCATAACGCTGCCCAAAACAGGATTTTGTACCTGTGGATGCAATTCTGTGTGTGGAGACTCTAGTCCTCAATCCTGCTCCTGGTTCCATGCAGAAGGATCTCTTTTTACAAAAGCTGAAATCTGCTAATCGGCTGTTCAAGGGGGTGAGGGGGTTGGTTCTTGTTCCCTGCTAATCTGAGGGATCTCAGCTATTTAAAGCTCTATTTAAAGTTATGCAGCTCCTACTGCTTCTTGGGTTCCCTCTTGTATCACAGCCTTTGTTTATAAAGTCATCATCTCTTGATCATTGTCACCTGGAAGGCTGTGTGCATGTGTTAAGTGTAACGCAGTGTGTGTGTGTTTCTAGTCTCTTGTGTGATCTGCTTTCCCCAGTCATGTTGAGTTACTGTTTTGGCATTCCCCAAATGCAACTGCCATGCTGTGATTCATTCCTCGATTGTATGTTTTCATAGCCATTTATTTCATTACGTTCTCTTTCCCAAATGCTTTCATCTGTACTCCTCCTCATTACAGGCTTCCCTCATTCTCAGAAGGCTTCCATGCAGGACAATACAAGGAATCACTGCCAGCTCCTTCGGTCCATTCCCTTTCCCCCAAAGGATCCCCCTCCTCTTTCCCCCCAACACACATTTGTTTTTTCTCCTTCCTAATTGCACCCAGGTTTTCTGGGTGGTCCATCTGCAAACTAGATAATAGTGGAGTTTCTCTGCCTGGCCTTAAGTTGATGTGTCATGCTTATGATGAGGCCTCTTGTGTGCCTTCTGAGAATTGTTCTGTCTTTTATCGCCTTGTTTGAGTCCTGGCTCTTTCACACCTGCTTGGAAACATGTGCTTGTCTTTGGAGAAGGAAGGCGGTTTGGGGTGGGACCTATACGCTGGGAATTTCCTGATGGGGCAGTCTGTCTTATTTAGATACTAATTTTGGGGGGAGTGAAAATTGTGGTGTGTTATTTTAGTTCTTCTAACTCACATCTGCTGTAGGTCTGCACTGATAACTATGTTGTTTCTGTGTATCATTAAACCTAGGGAGGTGAGTGTGTAATCACAATCGCCTTGTTTCTAGTGAGTTATGAATAGGATGGGTGTGCAAGCAGTTATGCTAAGGTTGCAGTAGCGTTTTCCCAGTTTCTTCTGCTGAAATGTTAGTGTTCCTTGGGAGGATTCTTGCAAGGATTCCAACTAGGGGTTAGCTTTGTTCAGGCAGTTCTGGAAGATAAGCAGACTGTCATCACAATCAGCTTCTCTGGTCCCATGTGCTAAGCTGCTTGGTCCTTTTTGTTCAGCTCCTTTTGCAGACTAGTACAGTGGTACCTCAGGTTACAGACGCTTCAGGTTACAGACTCCGCTAACCCAGAAATAGTACCTCGGGTTAAGAACTTTGCTTCAGGATGAGAACAGAAATTGTGCAGTGGTGGCACGGCTGCAGCAGGAGGCCCCATTAACTAAAGTGGTATCTCAGGTTAAGAACAGTTTCAGGTTAAGAACGGACCTCCGGAACAAATTAAGTACGTAACCAGAGGTACTACTGTATCACAAAATAGGTAAGAGAACTTCTTTTTCATTTTACTTTTTTTAAGAATAATTTTTATTAACCGACCAATCACATCAAATCAAACCAAATTACATAAATTCCAAATTACACAGCCGAATTTTAAATTTTTGTTGGGGGTACCCATATTTCAAGTTCCGAAGGGATCCAATCAACTTCTTGCTTCTTACTGCTGTTTTAATGTCCACAAATCTAACCTTATGATGTTCACAGTACTATCCAGTCCTTTCTTATTATTTTTCCACATCTCTTGTTGTTATTTTCATATATTTTTCCTTTCTCTTTGTGACCTCTGATAGTCTCCGCAAGCTGGTTAGAACAGTTTGTAATCCTGCGTGGATATTTTTTTTTATCCAGTAGCCATATCCAGACGTTTTCCATATAACATCACTTCCATACATCAAAACAGTCTTAGCGTCATTAATCTTCACCAATCTGCCTCCTTTCTCAAAACCTCTGAGGAGATTCACTAGGAATGCAGTCTGAAAACAAATCCGTTCTTCCTCCCGGCTATAAATCCTTTGGCAAGATGGCGACTCCGAATTAATTGCTGCGCCATTCCCAAAAGCTCTTATTGCTTCTCGGTCTCCATAAAGCATACTTTTGGTTAAAGTTTATCTCCACACAGACCTTAATCATCCTGCTTGGGTCAGTTCAACCGACGGTTCTAATGAGGAGGGGTTCTTGTAAATCACATAGAAGGAAAGTAAAAAGGTCCCCCCATTCAGCCCCGTTGTCAACATACCCCGCCTTTGGTGTATCTTCATCGTAAAATATTCCTGTTTCTCCAGCCCGTCGTCTTCTTTCGCAGAGGTCACTTAAATTAGCAGACTTCACTCCGTTTCTTCACTTGAAATATGTGCATTTGCTTCTTTTGTAATTAATTATT